AAAAAAAAAAAAATAAAGGCTGTATATGTTCCCTTGTGGCAAGGGAAGGAAAAAGAAAAGACAAGAACATTTAGAGAGAACTTGCAGTGTTCCTGGCACTGCACTTGCTGATGGTTGTGTGCATATTATCTCATTTAATTCTAGATGAAGAAATGAGGATTATAGGGAACTCAGACTCCACTTCCAAAGATGATTCTCACTTTCCATTCTGCTCTGGCGTTCTCAGATTGCTTCCTTGGCCTTTATGGTTTCTTCAGTCTCGGTCCCTCAGTCTGACAACTGGGGCCATCAGTCTATCAGCAAGTATTTATTTAGGCTTTCCTGAGCTAGAACAGTCATAGAACGAGGGTGATAATATTAACACCTTTCCTCCCCTAGGGTGTGCCAGGATAACCACTGGATTCTTGATGGCTCTTGGATGAGAAATGTTTACTAAACAGAAATAAGATAGAAATTCTAATGCCTTTTTTTGGCTTCTATTTGGCATGCAAGGATAAGAAAGTGCTCAGCGCATTGGGGTCCCCTCAAGAAAACTGAGGACTATGCTGACTTTAGGAGATAAATTCGCCATTTCAAGAGTGGACATCCAAGAGGAAGCATTTGATGGGTTGTTGGCTATCTGACCTAGAACTCATAAGAGAAATAGGCAGGAGATAAGAGTGTATATTTGAAAGTCCTCAGCCCTAGATGGTACCTGAAGCCACGAGAGGAAGATGGGATCACACAAGGGTATAGAAAGAGTGACAAGAGGGACAAGGACAGATCTCTGGGAGACTTAAAATATTTAAGGGACAGAGGCTCCTGGGTGGCTCATTTGGTTAAGCGTCTATCTTCGGCTCAGGTCATGATCCCGGATTTCTGGGATCGAGTCCCACATCAGGCTCCCTGCTCAGTGGGGAGTCTGCTTCTCCCTCTGCCCCTCACCTCACTTGTGTTCTCTTTCTCTCGCTCCCTTGCTCTCTCAAATAAAATCTTTAAAAATATATATTTAAGGGACAAGTAACGGAAGACAGCCAGCTGGGGAGGAGGCAGGAAAACTAAAAGAGTGTAGTGTCTGGAATCAAGGGAAAGAGAACAAATGAGTAAGAAGTGGTCAAGTGGTGCAGAATGTGAGAGAGAATTCAAGGAAAATAAAGGCAGAAGATGGTCCATTGGAGTTGGCGGCAAAGGGTATTGTTCCTCACTGTGGGACCAGTTTCAGTAGACTCCATATTGTGGAGGGTCAAGAAGTGAAGGAACTAGAGACAGACTTTCTCAACTCCTGGAAAGGGCACAGATGTCTTCTGGTTAGACTATGTGTTCTGATTTTTGGTTTCAAAATATGGTCACTACATTTCTGGACAGCCCAAGAATCCCAAGAAGTAAATGACTTATAGAGAGGCAGGAGAGAGTAGAGATTCTAGGGGTTCTGTCTTCGTTTAAGATTGTGAGCAATAAAATCTGAAAAAAATCATCCCTGACTCTTGGATTTTTTAAAGTTAGAAATGAATTTCCTACGATGGGAAGGGAGGGAGAGCTCTTTATTGATTACCTATCATTTTATCGTGCTCAGGCTCGATATTTAATCTTCATAGCAGCCTATAAGGTGAGAAAATTAGCCCCAAGTACAGAAAAGTAAACTAGACTTGGGGAGGTTTAGTGTACCTGACCACCCAGCTGCAACATGGTGAAGTCACTGTGTGGTTGTTGAAACTGTATTTTTTTCATCATATGCAGCAGGGACCAGGGCAGCAGGAATTCCTCCCTCTGAGAGAAGATATATGAGCCCAGAGTTTGTGAGAGGGAGGGAGAACCACCCACTTGAAACAGCTAACATGTGATCCCCGAGCTGGAAGAGGGCAGACCGCCATTTGAGAAGGAATTGGTAAAAAATACAAAATGAAACAAAGAACCAAAAAAGGCATCATGTAAGGTTAAAATTATGTGAATAATGATGTGCATTTGTTATTATAATGTTTTCCAAGTGCATTTCATTTTGAATGATATACTCAGATAGCGCGCATGGTAAGGTATAATTGAAAAAACATGCAGGAGAATGGCTGCATTCAAAGAATAAACACACAGCTGTGAGGAGGTTAGGAGTCAAAGGGGTAAGCATATGCCCCGTCCCCCAGGGATCTCATTAGTGCATGAGTGACCATATATGTAAGAGGCTAAACGAATCTCAGTGTTTGCAAAGACCCACGGTAAATGAGACAATGACGAATCAATAGTAATTAGGCCTATAGATTCTTATTGACCCAGATGTCTGAAACCAAATGCCCTGCCCTGAGATTCCTTGAGAGGGAAATGAAATGATTTATAGACATGTGCTTTAAAAAAAAAAAAAAAAAATCCCTTTAAGTGCAGTGATGGTATTCTGAAGTGGGATATTGCTAGAATCGGTGCAGACTCTTGATTCCTGGCTCAGGAGGACGTTCTCATGGCTTTTGTTGTCACTGTGGTTCCTGTTGGACCATGAGCAGAGGGAGCTGGGCAATAGACAAGCAGAATGTGATCAGATTCTCCCAGGTGCAAGGCTCTGGCCCTGCCTTCTATGGAGGCCTCCGGGACCCTTTCCTCACACTGTCCTGGAATCATGCGAAAACAGAGTTTGAATGTGGGCTTCAATGAGTTATCTCTGACCTGGGTTACAGAAAGCACATGCATCAGAATCACACAGAGGAGGGTTTATTTAAATCCGGCCCTGCTCTCCTGTCTTCACTTCTTTGAGCGTCCTTCTGGAAAGGGGTGTTACCGGTACTGGGCTCCTGAGCCTGGGGTTGAAGGCCTGTGTGCTGTCAGGCAGGTGGTGGAGCTGATGATGCTGTGGCAGGTAAGCCTTTTTCCAACAGTGTCATTATCCTCCTAGGAGGATCCAAGGCAGAAGATGTTTACAGATGGAAATGAGGTGTCACAGCGAGAAGCAAAGAGATTGCCTCCACCCAGCATACCTTGCACACACACGCAGGCATGCTCACACACACACTTGCACTCACTCCTGAGCTTACAGAGACCTGATTTGTTTTGCTATCTTTTCTGTCTCGGAGTTCCACGTGAAATTTTTATTTAAGAAAAGAATTTGAAAACCACCATTCTACTTGTTTGTTTCTTCCTTTAAGCTTAATTTAGGAGACTTTCGGGAACTTCTTGGGCTCCATGGGAACATTCAGTGTCACAAAACGAACTAGAAGTCTCCGAGCTGCACTCCTAAAGCATTTTTAAATGCAAATAATATCATGTTGGGTATCTCAGATACTAACCTCCCTTGGACATTGATTTCCTATACTTTTTCTCCAGCCATTATTCAAGCCATGCTTTTAACCTTTAAAACTATTTTTCCACGGTCACCAGTGAGAAGCGGCTTGGATGCCACCCTCTGATAAACCCACTTTCCTCTAGAATCATTGGTTCGAGACTTGGAGAAGGAAGCACGTTTAAAGAGGGGAAGGGTGACCCACTTCAATCTTGGTGCCATGCAGTAAGATTTAGCTCACTAAGATAGGTATTATGATGCCCATTTTATGTATGGGATAACTGAAGTTCAGAGAGGGTGACTCACTGGCCCGTGTCACCCAGCTAGGATGGGTGGAACCCAGATTTGAGCCCAGGACTACCTTGGCTCCCAGTCCGCTCATCTCTGTCTCCCTCTCACACAAACATGTGAAGACTGAGAGGTGGTGTGACTCCCTCATTCTGCACCCAAGGAACCTGAGCCTTAGAAAGGAGAAAGAATAAACGCCATGCCATTTGGTGCATTTGAGTTGGAAATCAAGTCTCCTAATTCCTGATCTAATTGCACTTCTCTGTCCTGTCACTTTCTTTAGCCAACTCCCATCCTGAGTCCCGGAACTTGCCTTTATATTTGTCACCTCATCATTATTGTTACAGTTAGGAATATGATTTTAAAAAATCCTTCACATATGTACAGTATTGTACAGTTTGCAAAATACACTATCTTCACATACAGAGTCTCCTTTGATCTTCACAATAACCCTATGAGGTAAGTTGGACAGGAATTATAATATCTGTTTTTACAGATGCTAAGAAAGTGGTTCAGAACGTTTGAATAACTTTCTCATGATTACACACCTACTGGGGGTAAAGCCCCTCCCAGACCTGGTGCTCTGATTCCAAGCCTTTCCACTTTGCACCAGGACATGCTACCTGTTCTTGGTGATGGCCCAGTATGATCAGAGAGAGCAGTATGCTGGTTCCAGTGGGCTTTGGTAGTTTCTCTGCTGAAGGTTTGGGACCCTGCTTTCTTTCTGGATCTGATATGGAAGTACAAATCGTTTCTTTCTGCAGAACAGTTTGCTTCCCAATCCTGCCCCCCCTTTTAAAAACAAAATCAACTTCTCTTCCAGATGCCAGAGTGTATATGCATATTTGAACAGTCACCTGGATCTGATTAAGAAGGCTCGGCCTGTGGGTTTTCTCACTGTTGATTTACATGTTTGGCCAGATTTCCATGGCAACCGGTCTCCCTTAGCAGATCTGACACTGAAGGGCATGGTAAGTAACAGCCAGTCCTTGCACTAAGGTGAAGGCAGGCCAAAGGGCTACAAAGTTTGGAAGAAGCAAAGTGAGGAGAAAGGAAAAGAAGAAAAATAAACAGGACAGGCCAAGGGCGCACAGGCTTTTTGCAGATGCACCACTGTTTCGAAGGCTCTTGCAGCTCCCCAGGATGAGCTGCTGAAAGTTCTCATTGTTTCTGAGCCAACCTTGAAAGCGTTAAAAGCACTATTTCTTATATTTAGCTACTGCTGCCTCTTTGTCCTGTGGAGCGGCTGGAAGTCGTGAGCCCCTGCCTGTGTGATTTTTTTATTTACATCACTCTGCAGAGTCATGTTTTCTCCCCCCCCCTCCCCGCCCTCCACAGGCCACCCGGTAAATAAGTGGTAAATATTACCACCCATGGTCTTAATTGCCACAACCACATGTCTGTTCAGGCTCTGAGTCAGAGCTGTTCAGAGTGCATGTTAACATTATTAGGATTTCAGATTCAACTTGGCTAAAAGTAAAATAAAATTCATAGCTTGGATAGATGGAGCTGCTGGTGACCTTTGGGGTCATGGGTGGTGCAGAAGATTCTGGGCCCTCCTGGAGGGGCCAGGATGAACTTAGGGCAGCGTTTGTAGCCCCCCTAAGCTAAGATAGGGCACCCTGGTGGCCAGGCGAGATTAGTTGGCCAAAAGTAGGATAGCCATTGAGAATCGTATTTGAGGTTTGAGGAAGCATGTTCAAGCTGGAGAAATAGAACTAAGCTTCAGAGGCCAGAAGGGACCGCAAATAAGAAAATAAGCCAGGAATTCAGAATCCAGGAAGATGTCAAAAAGTTGAGAAGCAGAGTGTGCAGTGAACGGAGGCAGGGAGTTCAGAGTGGAGGCCGTGAGCAACGCAGGGTTTACACGGCGTGACGGTGGTGCAGGCTGCTAGCTTAAAGAGCTTCAAGACTCAAACTTCTATAGTTTTGTGATTCATTTTATTGAGATTGTTTTCAGTGTTTTTATGATGCCAACAGGAAGACCTGATCTTTATTTTCATTACCTAGTTGACATAATCAACTTCTGCTAATAAAAAGGAATCACGGGGAAAGAAAAGAAAATTGGACATAGCATAGGTTATGTCTGTCTGGAGTCCATGAAGTGTGCCCACACAACAGATAATGAGCTTGGCCTCCTTACTTGGCCTGTGGAAGCAGAAGAGGAATGTCGGGAGAGGGCCATGTGGCCACAGGCTGCAGCCAGAACGCTGTACTTGCAGATAACTGACTCTCTGGGTACAAACAGAGGTTGGGGAAGAGCACATTTTGTGTGGATACAAAAGTGAGTGTCTTAATTGAAAACAAATATCTGAAACCAAATATAATGGACCTTTAAAATGTTAAAGATGTTAAGAAGCATGGCCAGTTCATAAAATGACCCAAAACAAAGCATGGCTAGTAGTGAAATGATCGTGGGTCTGGAGTCCATGGACTTGGACCTGGAGTCCTTCCCTGAGGCCCTCTCTTGCCAACTTCTGTCATTCCCAGCGTGGCAGGACCCATGGCTTCCAGTGGTTTTTGTCTGTTTCTTAAAACCAAGCCTGACATCTGAAGACTTAAGAGTTACCATCATAAGGATATTCTTATAAAGGTAACCCAAATCCAGAATGTAATCCCCAAGGAGTCAGTGGAGGGTTTTGAAGAATGCCTGCCTCATTATAATGAGTACAGCTAAGTACATACTCACCAAAGAAGACTACTTGTATGAGGACGTCTCCCAGTTGTATCAGGAAATCCTAGTATGTTTACTTTTTTAAAAAAATTTTATTGTTTTATATTTTTTATTTTTATTTTTTTAAGATTATTTATTTATTTGTTTATTTATTTAAAGAGAGAGCACAAGCAGGGGGGAGCGGCAGGCAGATGGAGAGGCAGAGGGAGAAGCAGGCTTTCCACCGAGCAAGGAGTCTGATGCGGGTCTTGATCCCAGGACCGTGGAATCATTACCTGAGCCAAAGGCAGACACCTAACCAACTAAGTCACCCAGGTGCCCCCCCAAAAAGTTGTGTTGTTTTATAAGCAAACTACATATATTGCTAGGTATTTCTGAGCATTGACTTCCTTTTGTAACTGCTTGGATTGGGTTTACATTGGAATAGCTGCCACTCTGTGAGCTTACATCACCACACTGGAAGGAGAAGGTGACCTCAATAAGGAAGGAAATTCTGGGCTAAAAATTTCTCCCAATATTTCTCTCCCTAAGTTTTACTTTTTTTTTTTAAAGATTTTATTTATTTATTTGACAGAGAAACACAGCGAGAGAGGGAACACAAGGAGGGGGAATGGGAGAGGGAGAAGCAGGCTTCCCGCGGAGCAGGGAGCCCGATGTGGGGCTCAATCCCAGGACCTTGGGATCATGACCTGAGCCGAAGGCAGACGCTTAGTGACTGAGCCACTCAGGCTCCCCTCCCTCAGTTAGTTTTAGATATCATACTAATCACCCTGAAATCTCTATTGTCCTGTTCTCCTTTGTCACAACCTGTAATGACTACTGTCTCCAGCACCCATTCAGTAAATACTTACTTGGTACCTAGACCCCAGAACAAAGTATGGCTATGTAGACACAGTAAGGTACAACAAAGCCGATGTTCCTGGAGCATGATTCAAGGGAGGAGAGGGATAAAATGTATACATAGCAAGTAGAATTGTCAGGATATTCCTAGTAGGGAAAGAAACATACATGATTTCTTCTTTTGGTTCCTGAAACATTTCTCTGATTATATACTACGTAGCTAATATGTACTTAATTGATAGTCAGCATGGAGATAAGAAAGAAATCATGTATTGCTTTAAAAACATACATATGAACAATTTGCTAATATGAGATGGATTAGTTGCTACTCTTACTATCCATATAAGTATTTAATATCAATATTAATGCAGCCATCGTCTACTTCATTTGAAAATAATGTGAAGATGCAAAAAAAAAAAAAAAGCATAAACTCATGCTGACTTTGAAAATTCACATCACATGTCATTCAGCTAGCGACACTAGAATTGACAGTCTCAGAATCTGGGAAGATTTTCCAGAATCTAAAAGACTAACTGGAACTTGTTGGTTAAATCTATGACATATGAACAAAGTGAACCTCCAGGCTTGCAGGAGCTCGGACCTCTCCATCTTCTGCTCCTTAGCTGAATGGTACAAGTTCCCTTTAAGCCTCAGAACAGGGCAGTCCTCCCTCTTCTCTGCTGCCAATGGTTTTAGGGTGTATTGGTTTTCTGGAAGCAGCCAGTGAGTTTAACTTTCCAGAACTCTCCCACAACCCAGACCTTATCGTCCCTTTTAGTTCAATCCATCAGAAAACTGCCAACAGGAAGCCAACTGGGCACGAAGTCCGATTTGGAATGATGGGTGATGCCCTGCATTCTAAGGATCCTGAGTAACACTTTGTTACTGGGACATAGATAGGAGTTTGGAGGAGGGGTGTAGGTTTGCATGTCTGCTGTTTGTTCTAGGGTTAGAAAACTGGGCCGTTGTAAGGCCGCCAAAGCTACTCAAAACAAAAACTGCTGGACTCGGAACTGGCAACTAGCTATAGATCTGAAGAGGCAAACCCACGTTGCAGTGAGTGGGGCTGAGAGTAAATCATGTGTACGGTCTGCTGTGAAACACTGAATATGTATAGCTCTCTAGTTAAAATGAATAAAAAAATAAGAAAGTGAGTCTAGGGGCGCCTGGGTGGCTCAGTCGTTAAGCATCTGCCTTCAGCTCAGGTCATGATCTCAGGGTACTGGGACGGAGCCCCACATCGGGCTCCCTGCTCCTTGGGAAGCCTGCTTCTCCCTCTCCCACTCCTCCTGCTTGTTCCCTCTCGCTGTCTCTCTCTCTCTCTGTCAATTAAATAAATAAATAAAATCTTTAAAAAAAAAAAGAAAGTGAGTCTATTAGGAAAAACATGTTGCATGCAAAGCAAAAAGAGTACCATTGGAACACTTAGGGAAAGGCCTCAAAGAATTATATACTATTCAAAGCAAAAGGAAATATTAAAACCTCTTTGGCATATTCAGTAGGATTTTTCTTAAGGGCACATCTCTATGAAATAGGGCAGAAACTTAGTGGGAAAAAATGAGCTCAGATGGAAAAGCAGTGGAATGAGAAGAAAAAGGAAATGATAAAAAAGACAATTAAAAACACAGGAGCAGAATTAAAACATGCATTGAAGGCAATGAAAAATAATTTTTACGGAAGAAAATAAGATCAGAGCTGCCATATGACATAGCCTGTGTTTTACATTTATTAGAAAAACATTTTGAGGGTAGAGGCTTCCTATGGCATGTTTGCTTTTAAATTTTCAACAGTGTTTAGGTCAAAGACGGGCATCGAATAATTGCCCTATGGCTAAGCGATTATTTCAGTCTTTACTTGTCAAGGGAGGAATAAACGGTGACCTACCCAAGGTCACCATGACAAGAAATGGGGAGCTTAAATAAAAACATGAATCCTGACGTCCAGCATGCACATCCCCACAAGGCTGCCTTAACTCACACCTCTGGACCTCGCTCGATGTGCTGAAGACTCTAAGAAAGGAGTCCTACCAACCATCCTGTGCATGATTTAATACCGAACCACACTTCTCAGCCTAGTCCTCGGTTCCCTGCTGCGAAAACCAGCCTTCTCACTCCTTCTCCCATGTTTGTCCCTACCCTGGGCCTTGGATTTAAGCTCTGACCTCTCTCTCCTCAGTCATGGTTCTCATTTCCTTCACACCCTCACTGACTCAGATTCCAGGAGCAATCACCACTCCTGGTTTGACCTGGCTCTAAACCCTTCTGCTTCAGGTGCCTACCCTCGGAAGTAGGAACAGGGCATGACCCAGGACTCTTGCCATTATGCATGAGAGCATCATTTTCTTCTGTTCTGGTAACAGTTGGCTCCCTGTCATGTGCCTCGCTGCTTCATTTTTCCTTTGGTGATGCAGTACTGACCCGTGACACTGGGCGAGAAAGAGGTGGAAGTTCGGGGGTG